CTTAGAGAGGACTCTAGTTTTAAGTGTTTTGATTAAATGAAGAAGGTGTTTGGCGGAAACACCGAAAGTGCATATAACTGTGAAAAGTCTTTATTCCACTTCTGTCTTCAGAGACTCATACCTTCCACATAAGAATAAATTGCCAAGAGTCTTGTTTGTGAACACTTCCATGATTTTCTTCCCAAGATAAATGGTTAGGAGTAGTTTCCCTCCTCAGACATGAGTCATTGTAACATTCACCTTAAGAAATCTTGATATTGGTTTCAACAGAAGTCAGTACTTGTTTCTGCAAAATCATTTAGGGTCAGATTCTGATACACTGGTTCACAATGATTCCACAAGTTGCTCCATTGAGGTAAATAGAATTATTTGTTAAGCAGGGTACTACTTGACATGAATAAAAGGTATAATAATTTGGCTCTTAAAAATAACAAATTATTAAATAAAAAATGCACTCAAACCTGCATTTCCACTTAATGAAATATTGACTACAAAATTTCCAATTCACTATATTTCCTTATTCTTGGGTATGATTGTCATTCCTCACAGTTCTGGGTCAAAACATTCTAAAATGACCAGTGGAGTTCAGAATAGAGTGAGGATCAGCTAACTAAATTATATGTAAGTCAATATGGAGTAAAGATAAAAGTTAATACATCAGCATGACTGAAATGTATTAATATGCTTTTGTTTCAGCCACTCATTGGCACATAGGCTAATCAACAGACTAAGGCAGTGTTTCCCAGTAAACTAATCTGGGAAGGCATTGGGCAAAGAAGAGTAAAAGCAATATGTGAAACGTATTTGCCTTGTACTCAACTGCAAATATGCTCCTACAGCTATGAGTAGAATCATAGAATATTAGGGTTGGAAGAGACCTCAGGAGGTCATCTAGTCCAATCCCTTGCTCAAAGCAGGACCAACACCAACTAAATCATCCCAGCCAAGGCTTTGTCAAGCCGGGCCTTAAAAACCTCTAAGGATGGAGATTCCACCACCTCCCTAGGTAACCCATTCCAGTGCTTCGCCACCCTCCTAGTGAAATAGTGTTTCCTAATATCCAACCTAGACCTCCCCCACTGCAACTTTTGGCTCAGCTCAGCTGTAGCCCAGTAGACTCACCAGTGGTCAGAAATCTACCAATCAGAGCAACATGAAGTCAGCAAAAGAAGAGGAACCACTAGAGGAGGGCTAGAGGGAGAAAGTATAGGGTCTACCACTTGGGAGCAGCAGACAACAAAGAAAACAGATACAACCTATGTAAAACAGCAAAAAAATAAGAAAAAAGAAAACCACATAAAAAGAAAATCAAGATAAAGATGAAAAAGAAACAAACAAATACAAGAGAGAAAAAATAGACAGAGCAATGTAAAGGTAATGGTAACTGTGCCAAGGCATGAGAGGAGGAGACATAACAAGAGTCACCAGTAAATTAATGGCTTGATCTTGCAGTTGTACCATATGCTAACCACTCAGTTGACCAGGGTGACACCACTACAGATTTGTATGTCCTAGAACAAACTTTTGTGGTATGTCTAGATTGGCATTTACAAACAGAGGAAACTAACCTATTAACTAAGTTAACAATTCTGTGCTAGAAGTTCCCTTGTAGTTTCCTTGATTGTAGCAGTAGCTCCCCCTGTATAACTGAAGAAGTGCTAATATTTAAAAATGTGTACAGAGGAGAGTAACAATGACCATAATACAAATGTAAAAGAGAGACTTTTTAATACAATTGCTGGCCATAAATAATTGGTACTGGTTGCTAGTAACTCTTGCTTTTATTTGATCCCTGTATTAGGCCCATAGAAATAGTCTGGACAAATAACTAGTCAAAATCTTTTTCTACACTGGTAAAAGGCTTAAAAATTAAAAACATGTTTGAAGTATTAGGAATAGCGTTTGTAGAAAAAAATGAAATTTTCAACTAGCTCTATGGTAGTCAGAAATATAGTGAATTTTTCTTTACAAATGTTACATAAAATTTGACCTTTTACTTAGGAAGCTAGGAGTAAATATGAAACCTGGGTACAAATACTTCCTGCAAAAGGTAATAAACAGCAAGAGTAGTGATGTTGGAATATAGTTGAAGCAGTTGAGTCTCACCTTAGCAGTTTGAAGGGCACGGCGAAAAAGCAGCTAGAGTGGGGTGAGATAAGCCAAGAAAAGGCACAAATGGGCATGGTGCTGTTTAGCTCTTCCTCGTATTTTCATGTTTTCTTAAGAATGAAAATAAGGCAAGGTTGAAAATAAATCTAGTTCTTCAATTATCAAACAAAGCATTATCTACTCATGGTAGAAAATCCAAAATAATAAGCAAAACCATTAAGAATCGTTCAGTCAATATCAAAGAAAGACTGTATACTAGAAGGAAGACAACATGATATAAAAGGGCAACAGCAAGTATGCAAGCTGGGTAGAAAGTTGAGGTTTGTTTCCTCAGCTGTCTGAAGCTTGAGCTCCGTTTAAATGACAGACTTTTTCATCTCTCTGAATTTCAATTAGATTGTGCCAATGGACAAGTGGGGAAGAGCATATTAATGATACAGGATGAGACCCATGGTGGGAATTAGATAAGCAGACAAAACTCAGTAATTGTTTGTTTAGGTTATAGCACAGTAAACACTTACTTTGAAAGTGGTGATTAAGAGGTTAAAAAGGCCACTGCAGATATTATTTAGCATTTAAGAGATCTCTTCCTTCCCTACTTATTCTTGCATAGACAAAGCTACTGTGTGTGTGTGTGTGTGTGTGTGTGTGTGTGTGTGTGTGTGTGTGTGTGTCTTTTCAGTATCTTACCACATTTATGTGTTCACGTTTACTCATGCATTGTCATTAGGGGAGGTCGTGTCTCGTGTATGTTTAATATGCTCAGATCATCCTAACTTATGATTCATCAGTCGTGAAGAAAGAAATTAATCACGCAGCTCCTCTCTTTCCCGCTTTGCATTTTCACAAGGGTTGCACTCTAAACACACCTTATAAGCAGCGATGTCTCTCTTTTCCTTTAGACGTCTGCTAGTTTCATCTCAAATTAGATGCATCAACAGAAGAAGGTACCACTTTCGTGCAATCACCCTATTTGCATTTCATCTCCTGAGATAAAACAGAGACTACTAACAAGGAAGATCAAACACAACCCCATAGAAGAGGGTGGAGGGGGCTTTGCAGCTGAGCTCTACATAACATGCTCTTCAATGCACATGGAGCTGACAAGTGAAAGGCTAAATAAGGAAACAACCCCACCCTCCTCCCCACTCTATTTTGCCTCAGTCGCTCCCGCTGCTGCTGGGCTGGTGCAGCGGCCGCACAAGTCACATTTCAGCTCCTCTCTCCCTCCTCCCCCTTTCAGTGCGAACTTCTTTGAACACGTTGGGCTGGGGTGCGAGCTGGTGGCAGGGAGGATTGCGGTGGCCTGTCCGGACAGATCAGCGAGAGGGATGCCCGGAGGGGAGCAGCTGCAAGGGAGAATCGGACTCCCACGGGGCTGCTGCTGCCCCGAGAAGCTCGCTGGGGGGAGGAGGCGGCCGCACAGCGGGCCCGTGCTGTGTCCCCAGTCAGGTCTGCGGCTGCTGCGAAGGAGATGGGAGTGGGGCAGGGAGGTTGGGCTTTGCTCCTGGGCGCTCCCTGCCACTCCTCGGAAGTGCCCCGCGCTGGGTGGGGTGCCTGGCGCTGCAGGGCAGCGCAGCAAAGCATTCCCTGCGCTCTGTGTGTGTGTATGGGAGCCCTGGGCAAGCCTCCCCTGCCCGAGGTGGGCTGACGGGCGCGCGAGAGCCCCCGCTGCGGCAGCGCGCGGGCTCCCAGCGCTCGCGCCGGCCGGCGGAGAGCCAAGCTCTGCGATTCCACTTCCCACTCCTCCGGGGCAGGGGGAGCGCGCGCCAGCTGTCTGCGCGCGCGCGCGCACGCTCTCCTCCTCCTGCCTCCCCTCCCACCCCCAGCAGCCTCGCGCTGCTCCTCCTCGCGCACATAGCACTCCGGAGCGGCTCCTCTTCGCAGCGCCGCTGCAGTCTGGCTGCTCGGCTCCAAGTTTCCCCATCTTCAACATTCTCCTCTCTGGAGACTAGCGCACGGGGGGACTCCCCCGCGCCCACCCCTTCTCGGAGCGCCTCCTGCTGCTGCTCCCAGGTAGGGACCCCATCGCCTCTCTTCTTGCGCTGCTGGGCATGCCCCCACCCGCGGAAAGTCTGAGTGTCTTCGGGGGGAGATGGACAAGGGGGGGCTCCGACATTGGCCCCCTCTCTTAGCCTCAGACAAGACAAGCACCCGACGTTGCATTACCTAAGCTCCTTGTATTTTGCAACTTTACACTGCACTGTGGTTGCCCCTTTTTGCTTTTTGATGCGAGTCTATGGCCATTATTATTTTTTTAAACGGCTGTCCAACATGTTCAGCGTTTGGCAGCAGCTGCACCGGTTGGTTCACAGTCATGCCATTGAACCTCTGCAAATGGGCATGATGATTATTTTGGGGTGAGAGTGGGTTGCGGAGTATTGTTATGAACCGAGGAATGATTAAGAACCGATTATTTGTTTGGTCTTGTCGGGGCGTTCATATTCCAGAAAAAAGAAGCATTTGATGCATTTGCTCACGTGCCACTTTTGATTATGCATTACATGCTTATACAAAGCAGGATCCTTGCAAAAGATGGAGCTATAAGTTGCTAGTAGGGGAAAGTGAAGCAGGAATCCAATATTTTCTCATCTCCATTGAAGTGACATGTATTTTTCCTTTGGTTAAGTTGAAAGCCTTGCTTGGTGGAGACTCACTGTAGCTCTGAGTGGGTTTGTATTTTTCTTGCATGGTTAGGTTTTGCAAAGAGCAGCTATGAAGAGGAAACTAACACTCTACAAGATGCAGTTGGTTCTTCTCGTTTTATTGGTGGGGTTGCCAACAAGGTGAGCACAACGTTTCTTATTGCTGTTCAAGAGAAGCATATTGTGTTTTGATCTGCTCCTAGTCCTATAAGGGGTGATAAAAGCTAGCAGGGGGTAATATTTCATAAAAAGTCTTGGTTAGTTGTTTTAATACAGTATTTGGCAGATTCTAGATCAGGTGCAGTGACAGAACGAGTTCTGGGGACAACGTAAAGTTAATTACTTGTCTTAAACAATTTGCTGCAAGGGTGACTTGACGTTTTTAATTCAACCATTTGAAAGACAAAAAATACACCCTTAAATATTTTCTTTGTAACATTCTGAGTTGGTAAGAGATGTATTGGAATCAGTATGTCACTGCCAGTTTACGTCATAAGCTAATCACATAGAACAGCAGTGTAGCCAAAGCAATAGATTGTTGTGAAGTCAAATAGCAAACTACAATTTCTAAAATAATGTTGGCATTTTTGAGTAAGGGCTTGTCTATTTTATTTTTTATTTTTATTTTTTGGTCAACACAACAGACCCCAGAAATGATATTTAAGCTTTAAACCTCTAGGTGGAGATAGCATACAACTTCACAGTCCCATATAATAAAAGAATAGCCTGGTTGATTAATCAATTTTTCATGTTGTTGTTTAGAGATCTCCATTTCTAAAGTGACAACATACCAAAAAGTAATTTTAAACATAATTAGTTTAGTGTTGCCTACGCTCCGTAAACATGCAATTAATTGTAATTTGTAACTTGATTTTACTTGTTTCAATTGTGACTGCAGTAGGTTTTCTGGGTAATATGATTTTCAAAATTATAAGGGCCTCATATGGCTGAAAATCCCTTCATTTATTTTGGTCTGGTACAATTACCTGGTGGTTATCTCTCAGTGACCAGAATTACCTAATTTTTAAAAATAGGTTGTCTATCATACTTTGCACCCAAACATGGTGCAGTATTAGTTAAGTCACAACGAGCCAAATCCTGTAGCCCTTACTCACATAAGTAATCCCATTGATATCAAAGAGACAATTTTGATATTAATTAAGGACTTTCATGTGAATAAAATTTGTAGGATTACATCCTAACATGCTATAACTATCTAAACTGGGTTTTTCAATCACATCTTGACTTCAAAAATGATTCTCTTTTTATAAGAGTAATATAAAAGGCAGATATTCATACTATCGAAGTATAGGTGAAGAAAAAACAACAACAGTTTTAATTTCCACACCGAGTTTTTAATTTTATTTTACATGTGACATCTTGGTGTTTGGTTTGTAAATTAACTGATTATGCTTGATTATAAGGGTAGTATCTTGGAAACCACAGACTGCAATAATTTACATTTAAATACTTCCTCCATGACGTTTAATTGTAGGGTGAAAGGAAAATCCTTTCTTTGTTAATTTTTAGGTGGTTTTGTCATAAATTTAAAGTTGTCACCTGATCTCTTTTGCTGTAGATCAGACAAAATATGTTAATTTTACATAGTACAAATTGTTCAATCAAAATTCCTTGATCAACACTGCAGTTGCAGAAGATGAGCATGCACAAAAAAATCAAAAATCTGAACGATAAAAATACCTGCAGATTTTTGAAAAACACTATAAACTGGTAATGCATCTAACATGCTGTTTTACTGCCCTAATGCTGTACCCTGATATTAAATAAAGATGGTCTGATATAATTTATTTCACATAAATTATGCTTAAAATTTGGTTACACAAGAACATTTCAATATGAAGGCTCTATATAGGGGAAACAACTAAAGGTATAAAAAGCCATGGTTTGAGTTTCCACACCCAGGTGATATGTTCAGTACCATTCTTGACTGGACAGCAGAATCATATTTCATTGGATTTATTGCTGTTTTCCAAGAAGAGATGATCAGTGGAGAGAATTCGGTCTCTTTCTTCAACAAGGAAGTCTGATACATTTAGATGGTCCACACACTCTCCTTGATAGGTTAATTTATGGATTCACTCCAACTTTTATAAGATGTGATTGGATCTGGCAAAACATAGGGAAATACTCTTGTCTTTTGAAAGACAAGAATTGTTTCTAAGTACCATTTAAAATCAACTACAGCTCTTGGACTGTTCACAGTTCTCACCCAGCTTGCTTGCTGCTGTCAGCCCCATTGTGCCCACCCACTATGTACTGACATCAGAGGACTCCCTGAGCATGATCAGTGGAGTTTTCCCTTATGTCAGTACTTCTGCTCATGTACGTTGTATGACCATTGGGTGGAGGCATAACCAAAGTATCTGTTCGAGAGATAATGTGTGCAGGGAGTGAGGGAGTAGGCCAACAGCTCCAAGGAGATAGTTTGTGTTGGAACTAAGGACACCAATCCATGAGTAATGACGCGTGGAAGCATATGGTGTTTTTTGGGGGGGTTCTGTACCCGAACAGCCATATTTTTAATTGAGCTCTGAGGAAGCAATATTTACTGTATTTTAATATGTGCTGAAAATAGAGGTTGTTAGAAAATGAAGTGCTTGAGAATTTAAAACTGTTTCTTAGAATCATATGTTTCCAAACCATTGTTTAATATATAGTATATGCGTATACACTTACACTACACAGTACATAGTTTTCATGTTTCAGAATACTCTTGAATGTACATTTTTATAAGGAAAAGGTGGCATCATTAGGATAATGTAGATGATTAGAGGGCAACAACTGACACATTCAAAGCTAAATGATAACATTAGTTGCATACTGAATGTACATAAACATATATTTTAGTTTGTAAAATGTTGTTTTAGATCAGTGCTGGCTGACTCCCTAGAAGATGAAGCTAAGAATAACATCACCATCTTTACAAGAATACTAGACAGACTTCTGGATGGTTATGATAATCGTCTTAGACCTGGATTAGGAGGTAACAAAACATTAAAACTTGTTTTAAAAAATATATAAAATCAGATTCTATATTGCATAATTTGTTGTTTAAATAAATATATATTTCCCTTAGGAACTTTTTCCCAATGATTTGATTACCTACTGCTGCTAAATCATTTATGAATCTATATTTACCTGTTTGACAAAAATTAATGGAACAATAAAGGTATAATGGAAATAAAATCTCTTAACTAGTAGCAACCATTTATGTTTTTTTAAAAGAAAAATGTCTGGTGGTAAGAAAACTGAAATAGGATGTGAAAAAAGTCTTCTTCCATATAAATAGAACTCCTTCGGCATCAGTCGCTTTTACTGTGAGATCTCGAAGGTGCATATAGGTCTGATCATTCCTTTGCACATCCCAAACCCTCATGAATGTCCATGGGAAATTTGGGTGAACAAGGATCCCTTGGAATTGAATGAGTATATGAATACATACATGTATTCACAGAATATTGGTGTCAGTGGACACATGTGCACGCACACAATGTTTGAAACAAGTGTTACACAGGCTAAATTCTCACCCTGTTGAAGTCAATGGGAATATTGTCATTGACTTCATTGGGCCAGGATTTGGCCTTTAAAGATCATGATGCTAGGCATCTTACCCCTATTTCTTATTTTGCTAGTGCCCAAATAATAGAAAGATTGGAGGGAGGAGTCAGGGGTCTGTTGTGTCCTGGTTGTACATGATTTTCAAAATGTCTGTTTATCTTATTTGCATTTTAATTTTAAAACTGTATTCCATTGGAGAAAATTATCCAAGTGGCAAATATAAAGAATTTGTTTTGGCTACAAGTGATGGCACACACTGGAATGCCATGGAGCACTAAAGAATGATGAAATATCTTGCTCATGATATTTTGTGGTTCTGTCTATTTTTGTTTTGTTTGAAATTTTGGTAGGTACAGTGCTCAAGTGTGAAACTGTTACAACTGGCTAAAGCCATGCATAGTGTGGGCAATGGCAAATTTCCTGAGAGCCCGCTTCTGTTGCCATTCATTTCTTTGGAATCAGGCCCTTAGCAAGGGCCTGCTTTAACTCTCCTTGAAATCAGTGGACCGGTAGCTTCCCTGCTGTTCCAGTTTGGAAAGCCTTGGCTAGCGTATGACCAGCATAAAGTGGCACAAGCTATGTATAGCTCTCTCATTACACATTAATCCTGACATGGAATCCCTTTTTATTTCCAGTCCTGGCCTCCCTTCAGTAGATATTTGCAAATACATTATTTTATATTTTAAAGGGCTTTATATGTAGATAATTCATAAAATGAGAAGTACAGTACAATAATTGGATTTATGTACATGTATAGTGATTGATTGCAAGTAGATACTATTTCTTTGCAGAATTATTGGTCCTTTCGTAAACCATTTTGATGTAGTAAGAACAGAGTGCCATACAGATGATATGCAGAAAATTGAATTTAATTTGTAGTTATTTAAAAAAACCTTTTTATTGCAAAAGTAATGGAAAAATTCTCAGCCTGTTTACAAAGAGGAACGTGCTAAATAATAAAAACAGTCTGCAGTTGCTTTGCATATTGATCTTTAAATTGAGAAAATTGGAATTAAACGTTGAAAGCGTGAATTTAAAGGATGCAAACTCCATTTTTATCATTCTAATGGATTTTTAAATTTTGAAAATAAGTCCATATAAATATCTTTAAAAAGAAAATCCCCAAACCTCCCAGGTAATTAATACATTTCTGGTGAGCATGAAAATAAAGGGATTAACATCTGTTCAGCATTGACATACATGCCATCAACCAATGCAGAACATGTGTGAAATGAAAGTGAGTCATGCATATTGAACCAATAATGATTCATGATATGTGATAATGTTAGTCTGCAAGAATATTGGTAATTTAACAGAACATCAGTTTAATTCAGTTACACATCAAAAGCCTGGTCCTGGATATAATATATCCTACATAGCCTTTTTAGAGATAGTATGTTATTTCTACAGAATATTACAAAAATTGTATAGTCTTTTCTCTTTCCTTTTCTTTCTTATAATGGTTACCTATGGTGAGAATGTGAAAACATTGGTTACTGAAGTTTTCTTTTAAATTGCGTGCTTGGTAGATGTTGGTAGGTCCTAATTGTGTCTTCATGTAGACTACTGCATTTTAATCTTGCCTGGATGTTAATCTTGGTATATATGTCATTATTTGAGTTACTTGGACTAGATTCTGATCTCAGATAAACAGTTGAGTTGCTTCAGATTCAGCCAGAAGTCATTAGAGCATTTACTTGGGCATAACAGATTAGATTATATTATTACTCTATTTACATTAGTATAACTCAGATCAGAACCATTACTATCAAATGCCTGACATGGATTCCTTTGAAGCCTTTTGAAAGGAAAATCCAATGCACCAGTTAATTGTTTATCTGACACATTTCCAAAAGTGTCACTTAGCTGAATTTTCTCCCCTATACTTAGGGAATTGTGGAGTTTAATAAAAATTAATACCTTCATGCTTAATGTCGAAACAGGTAGTGTTAGTTTAGCACTAAATGTTTTAGCTGATTATTGAAAAATAAAATGCAATACAAGGAAACTTTTCTAATAACTGTACGTTCTGTCAAAGGGTTTGTGTAATCTCTTGCTAAGTGAGAGTCTGTTTGTACCCCTGTTCCTAAATTTTGGGATAAGTTCAAAAACTCCTAATATCAAGCCTGTTGAAAAATTAGGTGTGTGTGTATGCTACATGACTTGATTTTTTTTTAATTATGAGTTCATACGTTTCAGTTCTGAAGTTTATACTATCCAGAGTGTTAAGGCAGCTTTGTGTTGTATTGTTGGTGCAAAGCTGTTGTAAAACTAATAGTATTGGTCACTGGAGGCCCATCCTAACAGCAGGAGTCCTCAAGTTGGGTGCACAACCACTGTGGAGACTTATACAGCACCTTCCTGCAGCCAACAAAGAGGGTGCAGCCGTGGGCAACGGGGCAATGTAATGCCTCTTGGGGCCATAGGCAGCAGGAAGAAGATAAGGCAGCACTCAGGCTATTCTAAACTCATTCCTATGGACCAAGCTGTCATGGAGTAGCCCTAGGATTGAGCCTGCAGAATGGTGGATTAAAGCCACTTGATACCCCCTCTCCAGTATTGCCTGACACTCCTTGGTTGCAGCTTCAGAAGTGGGCCAGAGTACCTCTTCTAAAGACTTCACACCTGCACACCTAGGCACTACCACACCTCTAGGCACTACCTAGAAGAGGAATACCTTTTTAAAAGTCAGAGACCTCTTCTAAAGTACAGTATGTGACCTTTTGCATAAAGCATATTCCAGTTACATCATATTCATACTCATAAGCATATTTCCATAAAATGTATGGAGTGCAACGTCACAGCAGGATTTATTTATTTTTTCACTTGGACTAATTTTAGTCTGGGACAGTTCTATTGACTTTCAGCATAATTAGTGCTGATTTACAAGTGGGGGTGGGGGAGAGCAGAAGATAGCTGCAGATTTTAATTTTAATCTGAGATAGGTGACAGTATAATACATTTGACAACTTCAGTCCTTAAATACAATGTTAACCAAGAATATATATTTAAGTGAAAAGATGAAACTATCTGAAGGAAGTAGAAAATCATTCATAATTAGTATACCAATGACAAGATGGAAGAACTGGAGTGAAGTTGAGAGGGCCGGGAAAGTCTAGAGAGCAGATAACTTTGCTCTCTTGGATAGTCCTTGCCTAGGACTTGGTATTATTGTGAAGAAGCCAGGGCTGCACTGGCAGGTGAAAAGTGGACCAAGCAATGTATTTTGTCCAGCCCCAACACTACCATGGGATCTTATGAAGTGTTGAGTGCCCTTAATTCCTAGTGAAGTCAATGAGAGTGCTCAGCATCTTTCAGGGGATGCACAATACTTCACAGAATCATTCCCATACTAATATGGAATACTAAAGGTAGGTGTAACAAGTCAGTAGCGGCACTGGGGGTCCAGTGCCGTTTGAAGAAGGGAATATTAACACCTTGTAAGGTTTTTGGTAGCCTCCTTGAAGAATAAAAACAAAACAACTCCCCCCCCCCCAACAACAAACCTTGCCCCTCTGCACATCCCACAGGCCCAAAACAAACACCCTCAAACCTTCCCCTTCACAGGTATCTTTGAGGCAAATTCTCTCTCTCTTCCCCTTTGTAAAGTTTCCTCTCTCCCCTCTTAACAAAAATCAGTCTTTTCCCAAAACTCCACATCATCTGCTATCCTTCCAGGAAAATATCCCTCTCTTTCCCTCACGCAAAATCCCAGCATTCACTCCACTTCATCTGAAAACTCCCATCGTTTCCCAACGCTGGACAGCCCCTCCCCCCCAACTCCATCTTTGACTTTGACCCCAATTACATCTCATTGTAATCTCTCGCTGTCCTGAACATCAATTCCGTTGTTGCCGTTGCCTCTTCCCATATACCATCTTTCATACACTGCATTCTATTCTGTTCTATTCTATGTATTTTCTTATACTACACTAATTACTCTAGTGTATGAGTGCCTTCCAGTAATGTGCTAAGCAACGTGACTAACATCTGTCATGTGTTTGTTCTCTCATCCTCCCCCCGGGGGAAGAAGCATATGCAGTGGAGTTCCTTGTTGTGGTAGGTTTTAGGGTGTTTGTGGGGTTTTTTGTTTGTTTGATTTGTCTAATGAAATCTAACAATCAATCAATCTGTCATGGGATTGAGAAAGCAGAAAAATCTCAGGGAGGCTTTCTGGCTGGACATGAGACGACGGGTTCCGCCCTACCCCCAGAACAGCCTAGGCACTCATCTTCCATTCATGCCAGTATAATGCTGTTGGTACTAGTGGTGGTCTATGGCAGATCTGGTGCTTCTGGCAAAGCTCCTGATTGCATACCAGTGATGCTGTCTAAGAGGGATGCCATCATTTCATCACCCTCTTTACCAAACTATCCCCTCCCAACACTGAACTACTGCACTCAATAGTTACAGCTAGTAGGGTGT